TGTACTTTTTTTATTATTGACATTAATTTTATGGTACAGGGCCTATATCATGCCATGTGATTGCCTATGCAATCGAGCAGACGGGTACCCTGGTAAGTGACTACAGTCGCCCATTGAAACCAGCGACTCAAAAGACACAAGTCCGTTGCTGCTCTTTGAGTAATAATAATAATATCTCACAAACTACCGTCTGATCCCAAACTAGGCAGAGCCTGTGCTATGGTAACCAGAATGCTGATAAACATACTGATATATTTTTAAATACATACATATTATAAATAAATTACATCCAGACACAGAACAAATGACCGTGCTCATCACACAATATTTGTCCTGGGTGGGAATCGAACCCACGACCTCCGGCTTAGCAGTCTAGGTCACTAACCACTAGACCAACCGACCCGTCAAGTGAGTTTTGGAGGGCAAAGCAACTAACGCATTGATTAACACTGAATTTCTGAGGCCGTCGAGAAGGCCCATTTTGGATCGATGCACAAATGCATGCCTCTCTCACGGTTATTAATATAACATTTACCCCACAAGTGTCAGTCCTTAATTTAATGTGCTTCATAAATCTCGTTTTTTTTTTGGATCGTTTGAAAGATTTCTAAAAGATCAGATAAAATAAAATGTATGACTAGAATAGTATTAATTTTTGTAGGCTCATAAAAGAGACATTATGGTTTCTTTTGTTACAATAGAGCAATAATGGAAGGAGTTGAACGTTGAATTTCATGTTAATAAGGAGATCAGTCAATATTACATAGGTTAAGACCTTATTTATTTCTCTAATTTCTGTATACCTATCACCAGTTCAAAATGAATCCATCCAAAGGTTGCCTGAAAGAAATTGCACTAAGCGATAAGGCCGCCCTTTGTACATTACATCTGCTGTTAATTACCTTAAAATGTCTGTAAAACCCTAGTGTACAAATAAAGTATTTATCTATCTATCTATCTATTACTAAGGCTAAGAACTGACTTGGCTCTTGGCAACTGAACACGACAGAGCGCTAAAAATACTGAACAATACTTTAATAAGACGATACGGCTCGTTATAGCAATATTAGATTAGATAGTCATGTTGTAGTGCTCGGCGGAGATTGCTGAATATTGAAAATAATACGTTGCGGGTTTATATTAAAGAGGAGCCTTTTTCTAGTCTAGAGGAGAATTTAAAAACACCATTATATTTCTGGACGTTTTTGGAAAAAATTGTGTGTTCAGAGAAACAAATGACCAATCAATTAATTATAAATACTTTGCGTTTTTATTTTTTAAATAAATTCTTCTATTTCTATTCTATGCCCAATCTGTACGTGAACCAACGAACAGATAGCTATTTTTTATAATCTGTGTCACTAGAATATTTGGCTAACAAGATTCGTGTGAGCGCCAAATACCTTAGATTCATTGTGTTCAATAAAATCCTATCCCAAAACTATAACACTGTTTTTGGGTAAACTTTAAAATGTATACAATTATAGCTATAATAAATATACTTTTATGTATATTACATTCTAGTCATTATGTTATACAAAATGGAATGGAACAGAATGATGATACAAATCATTTAGATTATTTTAATCTAAGACAAATTAGGTATTATAAAATGTTGCTTGAAGTTCCAAGTATATCACTATCTTTTTTATTAACTTCTACCTTTAACTTAAGTTACTACATAATAGAATCTAAAGTAATGTTTTATATATCCTATTGATATAATGGAGTTCAAAGTTGCATGTGATTTTGAAATACAAGAGTTTCGGGTGATCTAAATTATTATTAATAATTAAATATTATCAAGATTTTTTAAATAAAGCTCGATATCAATTAGTGACTTTCGAGATAACTAATTTAAAATAACCTTTAGGCTCTTAACGCCATATAGGTATTAGATATATAAAATACGATTGATTTAGCCGGTTACACGGGTTACTAACCAAACCTAATTTATGGGGATAAAACCCTATAACACAAACAACCATGGGCTGAGTGACATATTTGTGACAACAAACTAATCGATTCAGGCAATTATACTCGTCTGTTATGAGCACTTTACATGTGAGCATTACACTACAGGTTAATCTAGATACGATCGATATCGAACCGGGCGGCGGAGGCGCGCTTACCTGCGCCTCATGCCGCCCTGAGTGTGGCCGTGGGTGGACGGGGTGGGTTTCCCCTCCACCCGCATTAGTTGGCCAACCGCGAGGGGGCGGCGTCCGCGTGTGCCGGACGTCGCCTAAAGAGAGGAAAATCTTGAGACGGGGCCCGCAATAGGAGCGGGCCGGCGCTAGGAGGGGTCCAGAAGGCGATAACTACCTGGACCCCTCCTAAACTGGAAGCGCAAAGAGGGCACACCGTGTGGTTTTAGTCGGTTCGAGTCCGACACACCACCCCGCCGCAAACCCCGGTGGGGTGACGGTCCGAGGGGATTTCCACACGTTAAAAAAAAAAAAAAAAAAAAAAAAAAGATACGATCGATATAAATATGGTTTGAAGCGCACCATTTATTGGTCATGTTAAGCATCCCGTATCAGTCAGCTTATCTATGGCGAATTTATTCGTTTGTTCCACGCACAATGTCGATGTCAAATATATAGATATCTATGTATATTAATAGTTTCAAGTAAAACTGTCAGAGCGACTCAATAGTATTGGCGGTTTGCCATTACGATTTGGTATATGTGTGCCTAATTGTCCATGAAGTGGCTAAAAGAATACATGCAAGGTAAACCTTAAATTGAGTCTAGTACTAGTTCACTTTGAACATAGTAAATTATCTCCCACAGCACAGATGTTTAATCACTGTTCTGTGTGTGTAAGAAGGAAACATGTTTGAGTTACTGGCAAGCAAACCTTTAAAGGCAATTTGATGGCAATTCTAAATATTTTCACACATCTCACACACCCCACAAACGGCCGCCTGATCCCAAACTACGCAGAACCTGTACTAGGGTAACCAGACTGCTAATAAACATACTTATATATTTCTAAATACATACATATTATAGACTAGCTGACCCGCGCAACTTCGTCTGCGTCTCTCAATAGTAATAAATTTTCTCCGTTTTTGAAACATTCTTCATTGGTGCTCCGCTCCTATTGGTCTTAGGGTGATGATATATAGCCTATAGCCTTCCTCGATAAATGGGCTATCTAACACTGAAAGAATTTTTCAAATCGGACCAGTAGTTCCTGAGATTAGCGCGTTCAAACAAACAAACAAACAAACTTCAGCTTTATAATATTAGTATAGATATAGTACTTCCAGACATAGAACAAATGACCGTGCTCATCACAGAATTATTTGTTCTGGGTGGGAATCGAACCCACGACCGGGTCACTAACCACTAGACCAACAGGCCAATCATTAGAGACTATTTGTTCGCATCCTTCACGAATATTTTATTTTAGAATAGGGGGCTAACGAACCGACGGCTACAAGTCACTGGATGGTAAGTGACTGCCGCCGCTCACAACCACCTGGGTCACAGGTGTGTTGTCGCCTCCAAAAAGAATTAGAGGGAAAGAAGGGGTTGGTCTATACTCACTCGGTAAAAAGTTTTAACACCGGTTTTCTATGAGGCCTAACTCTCCCACGATATGAGAATTTGCTTTACATAATAAATAAATCAGGCAATCGTCAGAATACTTTAGGGGTTAATTACTAAATCAGTGGTTTTCTGGATTACACTGACTCGGTTCTTCACTCACTCGGTAAAAAGCTTTAACACCGATTTTCTGGGAGGCCTGGCTCTCCCACGGTATTGAGAATATGCTTTACATAATCATGAAATTAGACATTTGTCAAAATACTTCAGGGTTAATTACTAAATCAGTGGTTTTCTGGATGACAAGCTATATTTGTAAGGTAAAACAGTGTTTATTGAGACATTCTATAATTACGAGTATATTTTCGCCTTATTAACGAGTTTATTTTAGTTAAGCTTGCCAATAGTAATAAAAGTGCATAAAACCTCTTTGATTTAAGCACTCTAGTAAAAATCTTCTACGTTTGCACTTAGCTTCTTTAAGAAAGACTTGCGTTTTTAATTTAAAACGAATAAATATTCGCTATTGTCAGCAGCTCTAGTCACGGCCCCTTAATATCGTAATAAATTCCGCTGATGTAATAATTACAACGAAGGCGGAAGGCTACCTACGTTAGCTGTTTTTTAAACGTAATAAAAACGTTTTACCTTCCTTCTATAAATTAATATTCATCTAGAGGATAACTACATTATATTCCTTTATTTTTTTGTATCGATTTTTTTATCCGTTATATTGAGGTTGACCTTACCTAGGAGTGAGCTATGAGGAAGCAACTCTTTAGAGAACGTTCACTGTATTGTATTTTTGTTCATTTCATTCACATTGTGCTATTTATATATTAAAAAGTTTATTTAATGTACTTCGACGACTGAATAAAAATATGTTGCGACAGAGACGTTAGTAGATATGGCCGCATTCGTAAATATTGTTGATTTGACAAATAATTAAATGGATTTTATTGTTATGAACAAAGAAACTTATAAAAAATAAGTCATATGGGTGTTATTTAGATACCTGACAAACTCCCTTTTGATAAGTCAGTGTTGCATATAGATGCAACATGTTTGTTGTGTAGAAAGTATCTATAAAAATTCATTTGTCTTGTAGTCAATTTAATCTGTATATCTACAGCGCCAGAGTTAAGTATTGTGCACTAACAGTAAATATTTTCTCCGAGACCCCAGTCCATTATTGCATATATTTATTTAAAAAATAACAAGTGACGGATTATTTTATATTTAAAATTATAGCATAGCATTTTATTAACAGTACTTGAATATAACTTAAATGGAGGCATGTCAGTATTATACAACTTAACAAATCAGTGTCATATAACTTGATAAATAAAATCTTATAAAATAAATAAAATCTTGCAAAACAAAAAGAGTTTACTGCATGTTTTCATTGCACACGTATTCAAATTATTGAAACAAGGAACATACCGGTTGCCAAAGCTCCGTGAAGCGCTTTTTCTTTGTCCTCCATCATTGCGTGGGCGGAATGAGCTCCTGGTGCCATAACGATTCTTCTCAAAGACGGTCTTCTAGCTAGAGCAACTATGTGTTTAACACGATAGTTTTGTTGCGCTTTGCGACGGCGCGTGCGCACTCTTTGAAGGCCTCCAGGCGACTGTCCGCCAACTCCAGTGGTTATCACCGAGCGCGCCTTATCAGAGCCGCGACAGTGATTGCCGAACAACCACACAATAGCTGAATAGATTTTACAGTATATTAGCCAAAAATATAAATACCAATTGCCCTGGATACTGACTAACGCCATCAATAGCGATCTGAAACAAGAAAAAAAGAATATATCAAGATTTTAAAAGTATACATTAACACATGTTTGAAACAGGCTACAAAAAGCTACCCAGATCCTAAGTATATCCAAAGGAAAATTAAACTTCCATTGGAAATTAATACAATACAAAATAGGTACGTCAATAAGTAATGGAATCAAATTAATATCTCTTACTCGTCATTTAATTGTAAATTTTATTTAATACACTTGTAATTTCATGTAAGGGATGTTAATGATTTTGTAATAGAATATTATTTAATCATCATTATTTATGATAGGTACATCCATATACTGAAAGTGCCAGTTCATTTCCTAGTTACTGAATAATTTAAATATTTATCTTGAAAGTAAATACTATCAATATATCTAATGTAATATTTTAAATTAAGTACTCTTTTGTCAAAGAAAAGAAATATAAATCTTCCGATTATCTATCGGAAGATTTATATTTATTTTCTTTCATACACTTTTCTCAACATACACAAACACTTTGTGATAGTGCTACAATGACGTAATTATAAAACTTCACATAAATGTTATTTTAAACAAGGAATGTTAGAAAGTTATCTACACGTGCATTTAAGGTCTAGACGAACAAAAAGTAGACCCTAATAAATAAGTGAACTTTATGATCTCAAGTATTGCGAAGTGGATGACGGCCCATTATGAACAAAAGACTTATTGCGTTCTTAAGACGAATACCATAAAAAAAGGGATAGCCAAGGGTCCACGATAGCAATTAAAAACGGAGACATGTGCAAGACAGCACACGAATAAGCGTGAGAAAAGCCCTTAGTTAGGAGTCCTTTTAGGAACGATAAGGAATAAGGAACGGGCAGTTGATCTTAAGTCGTAGGACAAGACAGTCGGTCTTAGGAGCTAGGAGGCGAGGTTGATCGTCAAACGCTGAACGTGCTCGGACGTGCGTATTGCAGCTAGATTGAGTAAGTTAAATATATAGAACGTTGAGGACCGCTAGGTGAGTCTTTATTGGTTATTATGTTTTAGGATTAATATATTATACGTATCTATATTCCGGTCTGAGTAACGTAGTAATAGTTGAGTAATTAGATGTAGTGTCACTGTTTAATTAACTTAAGCATTTGGTATTGGTTAAGGTACCTTTGAATGGGATAGAATGATTAATGACCCTTTATAGGTCTCTTCAGTGTGGTGAATCGATTTATAGCTGAGGTGAGGCCACCCTGGGATGACACCCAGGGCCGCTGTCATTGCTATACGGTTATTCTTCGGTGACCCGTTATTGTGGAGTATTTATGATGTGGTTGATACATGCCGTGTGCTTGAGTGAAGGGCGTTTTAATGGGCGGATCCTGTGGTCGGCTTACGGGAAAGCGCTGATGCTGTTGATGAATTGATGGAGATCGAGCGGTCCGAGTCCGCCGTCGGCGCATGCGTTGTGTCCGGTAGCATAAGGGTTAATGCCACATCAGACGAGCAGTATTCACGTGTCTGACCTTGCGGCCTTGACCATTCAGTTGTAGAAGTTGATTGACTCACTCTAAGCTTAAGCGCACAATGAATGGAATTCTGATGAGCAATCACAACCAATACCAATTGTATTTAATTATTTAATTTAGACTTTGATTCCCTCTTACCGCGGTCTTTTGTTGTTTATTCGAACGTTAAAAGCCAGTGGGAAGATGTCCAGTCAGGGTCGAGTCTTACAGCCTAACGCGGAAAATGGAGGAGCGTTAGACCTCCCCCACAGGGAGGGGAGCTGGCTACGTGTTTATTAGTTGAAAAACTGCTTTACTCAGGCTAGGGTATTTGAGGTACCATCACATATGGTGCCGTGACCAGGATCCTCGTCATTAAATGTACTGAACCGTAATTATTACGTCAGTGCAACGAGGATGAACTGAATTTGGTTACTACATACACAACACAACGTAAACACATTATATCATTGGCCACAACTTAGTTTATATTTCATGTTAATTGTTTATTCCAGTATAAAAATACTTATATGTCGATAAATATTACAATATATGATATATCGCGTACTGTGTTATGACAAGGTACTAGTATTAAATATTTATACACGTAGATATAAAATGTATAAGTTACGCATTGTGTTCTAATACTTAATTCCTTAAGTTCCAGGATAAATAGGTGTAACTCTAAGTTAGATGTAATTAGTTTAGACCATATGATTTCATTTCTATTTATGTCCGAATAGTATTGGGTTCGACTCCCGAACAGGAAATTTTTAAATGTATTGTCAACAATATAACTTAGATTAACGCGCATATTGTGTACATACTATCGCCTTAATTTAAATAAATTTGTAGAAGTTATTGGGTTCGACTCCCACATAGACATGTTGTATATTCAAAGAACGACATAACACAAAAGAACGATTAACACTATATTTAATCGCGTGTATCGTGTATCTAGATTTCAATTATTATAATTGTAGGGGTTATTGGGTTTGATTCCCAGACAGACATTCAATTTTTGTTAAGAATTACAAAAACATAGAGAGATTAAAACTAGGTGTGTGCAATTGCGTGTACATTGTATTCAGATTTTATTGAGTACCTAATGTAAAATGGTGTAATTTTGCTGGGTTCCACACCAGGCAGACTAATTTAATAAGTGTAATTTTAAAAGACCAACAAACTTTTTATAATCATTTTGTAAGGGGGGAATGGCATTTACTGTGTACTCCAATTTACTTTCTTAGTTTATTTCTATATTTCTGTTGGGTTCGATTCCCAGTCAGATACGTTTTACATGCAGGCATTACGATAGATATCATCGGACGTACAATACTCGTAATTTGAGGGGGGAATAGAATGTACTGTACCATGAACAGATCTATAATTTGGTATAACTTACTGAGTTCAATACTCAGGAGGAAAAAAAAGGTAATTGTGCCTAGCGGAATACATTTGTATAAACAATAGATTATTTTGTTGCGTGTCGGAAATATGCAGTCAAGTTAAACACGTGGTAAGGGTCAATCGGAAATACAATACTCATTTAAAGACAATGCTGTACCCTTTGCAACTGGGAACAGAAGACATAAAAAAAAAAGCGTTTTTGTTAGATAAAAAAACTGCTAAGTTGATAACTTTCACAAAGTGAGTTGCATATAATTATAGTAAAACATGTTTCATAAATTCACTAAGAATTTATAAAAGTTAGTCAGAGTCAAGTAGTCGGCTGTTCAACATGTCGGATCAACTAATGTTAAATGATGATGATGTTGTTGATTTAGTCAGTAGTCGAAGGTTAATAAAAGGGAGATATCACAAACAATTTATAGTTGAATGGGATTTGTTGTGACCCTACCGTATTGATTTGGATTGTTGAGATCTTACCGGTTCGATTCCTGACCAAAATAGAGTAGTTTACTTAGTTTTACTCTTGTGAGTAATGCAATTAACTTTAAACTAGCCCACGTACACAACCAGCTTAAGATTCCTTGTAAAGAACAATATACTTAATGAAACGTAAAATATAGTTAAAGCCAATATTTGCAAATTAATAAAAGATGACCTTCGAGGAAAGTATGCACAGGTAACAGTTTATTCTTTGATTGGACATTTATCGTTATCAATTACTGGGTTCGATCCCCGAGCTAAATCATGTAGCTGAAATTGTAAGGGTGTTTATACCTTTAGTTAATTCTATAGGCAACACGTTTGAATTATAAACAATTACGTAAGGAAGTACAGTAGACATATGTATATAATACTATACACAAACATGATCTAAATGTACTTAGTGTTAATTAAGATTGTCGGGCAAACCTTATCGATGACAGTTAAGTCATTAGCTTTCAGGCTGTCTTTGCAAAGTCGGTTGTTTATATTATGGTTACAATAGATGAAACCTTGATTAGAGTAATATGTATAACTGACAGTTAATTATGGAAAAAGAGACAAAGAGTTCACTGAAGTTGTTGTTGGTAACACAACAACAAAATACTTCATAAAGGGATACACCATTTGAATCTCATATCCATGTTGATGGATCTCGTGATTGATTGAAAAGGCTAATGATGAAGGACGATGATGATGAATAACATAGTGATGTGATTAATGTATGTATAAGTATGCTACGAATAAAGTTGTTAAACTAGTTGATGGCTAATGTAGCATCGGTTAGCGCAGACTGCTACGGGTTAGACTCCCGCACGATACGATGATGGATAGTATAATCTAAAAAAGTATCACATGAAAGTAAGTAAGAATTAGTTAGAGTATATGGAGAGGCCAAGCACGGTGCATTAGACTCGGGGCGGGTGATGGAAAGGTGATTAGATAAAAAGTTAGAATAATAATAATTTATTTATTAATTGTGTGATATGATGGAGATAACAATCTCGAAACGTTAGACACAGGCGATGATAATGGAAAGTTTATTAAGCAGAGTTAGAGTAGTCGCTATTTATTTGTCAATGTTTATGAATACGTGGAGATAATACTCTCAGGACCTTAGACAGAGGTGTTGATGTCACTAACCTTGTCGATGTAAAAGTTAAAATTATAATATTTTTAAATGTAAACGTATTTATATAGATATATAAGAATATGGTCATATTCATTCCATGTGTAAATGCTGTGGAAATCAATTCGTACAAAACAAATCCTCTGCTGTGGTATTATCACGTTTCAGTAATTGTGGATATTGCGTATATGCGACGTGAACTACTTGTTGGGAGTCGCTACTCTTCGTGGCTGCAGGCTTAGAATACAAGCGAGGTTGAAGTGAAAGAAAGGCAGAGCGACGTTGAAACCTGAAGTGAGGCGGGGCGATGGTGAAATGAAGTTCTATTATGAAGGCGCTAGTTAACTGTATCTGGTAACATTTGTTAATACTCGAAACTTCGAGGTATGTAAGCTTCCTATTATTTAATGCCAGGAAACCGTTAAGCAAATATTATGTACTATACAATTTATATGATACTGCAATTGTAATGCAATCAATTGAATTATTACAAGGTATCACTTTGGT